ATGAGGATAAAGTGGGAGGGGAGGAAAGCAGAGGGAGGGAAGCGTCCTAGAAGATGAGTGGGTATTTTATTGCTCCCCTTGCTGATGGGAGGAAAATATGGCTAAGTGTGTGCGTGATGAGAGGCTGAAAAGTTAGACTGTAACCACAGTGGAACCTGGGGTTCAGGTTTTACTGTTTTGTAGAAGTTTACATGGTATGAGGCCCCAAACTGAGTGTAGTAGTTTTTACTAACTTGTGTCTAAGCAAACTGCTGTCAAAATACAGGCATACCAAGAAAGGTTGCTGCTTGTGTATGGAGGTTTAGTGCTTACAGTGTCTGCCTGCTGAATTATGATTTAGTTTTATGTATGTGCTTGCATTTCTCTAATGTGCCTGTGTATATGTAATAATAGTAAGTGCTAATTTTCTCAAATCACCTTTACACTAATTAAGAATGGACATGCCGTCTCTGCCAAAGCATGTTCAACTGCACAATGACTTGGATGTAGTGCAAGTGTGCCAAAGTTCATCTGCCTCTGTCATTGGATGTTACCCGTTAATGTTCAGTCAGTATTTATGGGTGAGGGTTGGCAGACGCACACATTGATTTCTTGACCAAAGAGGTTTCCTTCCTCTAAATGAGATCAAAACAAAGTCTGGCCATATATGTGAAGATCTGATTCAGTTTCAGCAAACTGAAAACATCCAGTATACAAAAGCTGACCAAAATTCAAGAAATCAACTGAACTGAGTCTTCTCTTTGATAAATGTATACCTGTACTTCATGCCAGTAACATTTATGAAAGTTTCCATGTGAGTGACTAATGTGCAAACATACTCGGTCATTTCAGTTTCATGCTGTGTGGTAACTGCTGCTAGTGAAGAGGATGCTTGTGCATGGAGAAAAGTTTAGAGTTGCCCTGCATTGAAGGAGTTGTCCATAGCAATAAATTCTCACATAGTGTGCTGGTAGAATGAAAAGGAATTGGGCTATCCATAGGTAAAAATCTATGGGTTATTCAGCTACCTCACACTCCTCTCTGCTGCTTCTATATTTAAGCTTGCTATAGATATTGGAGAATGTGTTTAGATGTGTATAATCAGTCTGACTATGTTAGGGGTCTTAAGGTGGCCATACACTGTACAACCATCGCAAGACCTTAGTCTTGCGATGGTTGTAAAGTGATTTTTTTTAAAAAACATACGATCTGCCCATCTTAGACAGGCAGATCGTACGCTCGATCATCGCAAGCCCGCCCCCCTGAGGGGCGGGCTTCCGATGACCGCAATGCTGAACAGGCAGCGCGTGTGTGCGCACACCGGCATTTGTATCCTGAGCACCGTTCAAACCAGCCGAAAAGCGTACGATTTTTGGCTGGTATTCTAGCGTGCTCCTTAGACAAAAGAGGTGCGACTGTACAGTAGAAACGGTTGCACACCTTCCTTCACACTGCTCGATTCACGTACGATCGTGGGATTTCTAAGTTTTAGGGATGGAACAAGTATGCAGAGCATGAGTTTAAATACCCTGACGTGATTCATTTTAAGTGTTTGTTCCAGGTCAGTATCTCAAAAATGTTAAAGCTAGAGCCAGCATTTTGAGTCTGTAGTGGTAGGATCTACAATTCTTCCAATGAACATTTCCTACAAACACTTCTTGAGGAGATTGCAAGCCAAGACGTTTAACTGGACTTTGAAAAACAAAAAGACAAGTAATGGATAGACGTAATAAAAAAAAAATAAAAAAAAAAAATGCTACAGCAAACCTGTCTTTACCCCCACAGGTTCACTTTAATGCTGCCCTCCCCAGCAACACCCTTTCCTTTTCTTCATATCCCAACATCCCAACATGCCATTCAGCCAGCAGGAGTGAGGAAAGGAAGTGCTTTGTAAGCACAGAAGTACACTAGTTAGAGCTTACATAGGGCTGAGGACTGTCTTCTTTGCCCATATGGACCAGTGCTGTCAGTGTGTCCATATCTGGAATTACAATGTATTTTCAGTCATCACAGCAGTTAGTGTTGCAGATGAGTATGTGTTGCTAGGGAAGAGAGCCTTAGAACAAACCTGTTGCTTTGTCCTACAGGGGCAATGCACAGGTTTTTTTTTTCAGGAAGGTTACATAGAATTTGTATTCTAGTTCTGGGCCATGCATGGTACTTCCAGGCACTTTTCTGGTCCTGCAATAAGCATGAAACTTGTAAATCAGACAATGGCATTCTCCATCAAAGTGATATTCAACTTGATAAATGTTTCATTTAGGACAGGGGTCTCAAACGTCTGGCCCTCCAGCTGTAGTGGAACTACAAATCCCACGAGGCATTGCAAGATTCGCACAGCCACAGACATAACTCCCAAAGAGTGATGCATCATGGGATTTGTAGTTCCACCACAGCTGGAGGGCCAGAGGTTTAAGACCCCTGATTTAGGCACTATGTTGCCAACCCTGTGTGGTTCCGAAAACATTGGCTATACAACACTTGTGACATACTTCTTTAAATAAAAGAACACTTGGATTTATCTTATCCTTTGAGTGCCAGTGATCTTCATCGATATAACCTTGGATATGCATGGGGCCATCCGAGGAGACCCAGTGCACAACCACGCTCTTAAAAAAACGGTCTCCATTGCTGTATGGTGTACAGGGGAATATATCTTTGTTTACTATTTCCATTGAGTAGCATATATATAGAGCTAAAGTCTGAGATAGAAACACTAATAAATTCAGACAAAAGGTCGCTGCTCCCAAGTTCTCGCCATAATACGGGTGTGAGGACCCTGGTGCAGGCAGCTCCTCCATGCATCAGGGGTGGCAAACTCTGGCCCTCCAGCTGTTGTGGAACTACAAGTCCCTTGAGGCTTTGCAAGATTCTCACAGCCACGGGCACGACTCGCAGAGGCAGATGCATCATGGGATTTGTAGTTTCACCACAGCTGGAGGGCCTGAGTTTGCCACCCCTGCTACATCATCCACAGCTTTGGATGTACTTAATGTGGATCTGGCCCTATGGTTCCCATATTCCATCATCTCCAAAATGATCACAAGGGAACTTGTTCTAGTGATAGGCAGACCTATTGTGACTAGCATCAAATCCTTTTCTGAGATTAGATGGACAGACTGCTCCAGCCTCTGGTGCGGAGTTTACCTGGTTATTACACGATACCAAGCATATCTTCCAAAAATTGCAGGGTCATGTATGGGGACAGTAATAAATGCCTTGCTTGTGATGCCTCAACTTTATGTTCTTCAGTTCCCCATAAATTAGGGTCGACAGCTTTACAACACCCATCTTCAGTGTTGCGCTGAATAGTCTTTGGCCCTAAACAACTTTATTATAGAAGTGGTGTACTTTTTGTTAGCCCACAACTATTTTCTGTTAATTGGGGGGGATACTATCACTAAAGATGGTGCTTCCATGGGTGGTAAGTTTGTGCCCACCTATGCCAGCTTATATAGAGGTTAGTGGGTGGAGGGCCAGATCTTTGGCGATAACTCCTTAGGTCCCAAATTAAATTTCTAGATATATTGATATCTTCATCGTAAACATAGGTCATAAAATGGGATAGAATTTTTATATAATCTGAACACCAAAGAATAAAACCCTGGGTTTATTTTTGAAGAACATAATATCCATATACATTTTTTTTTTCATAGTTGACCTAGAGTTTACCCGGTAAGGATAATAGGATTTTGGCCAAATTCAAAGGGCATAAATACAGCTTAACTCCAGTTACGCAACGTTAAGTCAACGACCCCTTGATTATTTTTTTTACATTTCCGGTTTCTCTTGTTCTCATTCTTCAATAGATCCTCCCTCAAGCTATTCTTAGCAATTCCTATTGCAAGTCTACCCAAAAAATATTTTCTCCTTGCTGACAGTTGCCATTCTGCTCGAGGACTTCACAAGGGCTAAATTATTAGATCCTGGGACAACTGGTCCACAACAGAGGGTTACAATAGAACAACCATATCAGTTTGCTAAGAATAGCTTGATGGGCGATCTATTGAAGAACGAGAACAGGAGAAACCGGAAATGTTAAAAAAAAATAATCAAGGGGCTGTTGACTTAACGTTGCGTAACTGGAGTTAAGCTGGATTTATGCCCTTTGAATTTAAAGAGATGGCCAAAGTTCACTGTGTGGGTGCAAGTTGACTCACTTCTGCCTGGTATCCTTCGATCAGCTGATTGAAGAAGCCAGTTGGAAAATTCTCATCTGGACAGAGCTAGCAGCTAGTGGCCGGTCAGAATACAAAGGAAACATCGGGGGGATGTGTCTGTCGGCGCTCATAAGCGCTGATGGAGGAATCATCCATTTTTTCATTCAGGAGTGCAGAGCACTCCAACCTCCCATGACCCAACTAATGATTTTGCCCAGTGAAGTGCGGAAGAGTCTTCCACAAAGGGTAAGGAATAACAAGGCCTTCTTATACTGTTGCCTTGCCGACCAATGCTTAAACAAGAGCACCCTGCAGATCTGAGCAGAGAAAGGTTCACCCAAGGCATAAGTTTCCCAACATCCAGTACCATGTCGCAGATAAATCCAACATCCATCTGTTCAAAGCAAACCATAGTTAAAGGAGAACTATGGGGTTAGGGCTTTTCCCCATAGTTCTCCTTAGGGTGACGGGAGGACACAAACTAGCGTCCTCCCGTCACCCTAAGCTCAGTATACCGCGAGCTACAGCTCGCGGTATACTGAGACGCCGCAGCTGAAGCGGATCCAGACAATTATGTCTGGATCCGCCCAGCTGCGTGAGTGACAGCTGGCTCTGCCTATCTAGAGGCAGAGCCAGCTGTAGCCACCCCCTCCCCCGTCCGTTCCGCCAGTCAGCGCTGGAGGATCGGGGAGGGGGGAATCCAGCCCCTTCCCTGTCACGGCAGAGAGCTCTGACAGAATCGAGAGGTGAGCGAACGCCGGTATGTATTTGCTCACTTCCCGATCTACTGAGCCGACCTGTGACAGTCTCATTGTCACAGGTCGGCTAGAACTATGAGGTGAGTGAAAAGCACTCCCCTCATAGTTCTCCTTTAAGCGTAAACGCTGGCCGCTGTCAGGGCTCTACTTAGGAATTTTAACAGCCAAAGCTTGGGAAATGAGTGCAGAGGCAAGCAGAGATTGAGGAGGAAACGCCTTGTTAGAACGTTTGGTCTATGAGAACCCAGCCCAAGCACATTGTTAGAGGAAGGAGCAGAGAATCCTCTAATTTTAAAGCGGAATGCATACCTTGGTTTAAAAAGGAAATTGTTTTCTTTAGCTTAGTTGATCTGACTGAAATTTGGCTAGTGGAATGTCTTTAAAGGAGAACTATGGGGTTCTATCTTTTCTTGATTAATGCATTCCTTAGGCTAAATAAGTAAATTATGTAATTTAATCTAATTAGCCAAAATGCACAGTAAAGCTGTAAACCCTTATTTAAGGCGGTGGGCGGGGCTAAGCGCCGCAATGAGGAGACATCCCGACGTATCTGACGGGATCCTCCCCACTGATCTTCCTCACTGTGACTGACAGTGATTCTTGAGAGCTGCTGCGCGTCCACAAATATATGGACATGCGCAGCAGCTCTCTCCTTACCTGCATGTCCCCGTGTGCCAGCCGGGCTCCTTCCCCCCCTCTCTCCCTGCCCTGTGTGACACGGGCATAATAAAAAGATTGTGGATCGCGGATGACAGAGGGGAAGGAGCCCTCTCTCTCTCTTCAGCATTTACTACAAATGGGA